GCACAGTGAAGCGCAAACATCCAATAGTAGTTTAACATAATATTTTATAAAGTGGACGGGGACTTGAAAAATAATCTAAGATGTTGAAAAAAAAATGCATTTAATCAAGGACTGACCTTGATTAAATGTATTTTTTTTTCATTGCAAAAACACATTGATGTTTGTATGTTTGTATGTTTTCACCATCTGATGAGGATTACCATAAGATTATAGAAACTAAAGTGTTCAAGCCAGCTATCAGCCCAATGAATAAGACAACGTCAGATATAAGTACTAACAAACTTAAGCCTCTAAAAATGTCCTTTAGATTCAGCAATGTACACAGAAAAACGTGAGGACAGTCTTCACTTCACACTGCCACTGCATGTATAATTCTCAATGCTGTTCGTCCTGCTGTCACAGTGCAAAAGCTGCAAACGCAGCCGCTTAAGCAGCCATGCTCGGGGAGATTTTGTTTGGCAGGTCCCCTTAGCGTCATTACCATATCTGAGATGGGTGAAGATGTGTGAACACAATATGTGACAAAAGTCTTGTGTGTTTGACAGTCGAGCAGTTTTTGGCAGGGGTCAGCTTAGAGCCGTGGGGAGCAGACAATACACACACACACACAGCATGGCAGGAAGGCTTTGATTTGGAAATTTGGTGCTATCCTTGGCAATGTTGCGAGCCTGCCAATTCTGCTTTCTGTTTTCTCCCTCTCGTCTTTGCTTTTTCTTAGTATGGTTTACTGTAGTGTTGTCTTTTCTCTCTGTTTCACCAACATCGTCTGCCATTGTACTCCCCATCCTGTCTGACTCTTCTTTTTACTCTTCCTCTCTGTCACTATTCCGCTTTCTTCTTCTCCCTATGTGTTGTATGCAGTTTTCACTCCTCTTTCGGTTCTTATTCTGTTCATGCCTCTATCTGGTTGAATTCATTGATGGCACAGTACACACAGTGAGACAGCTGTAATATTGGTGTTAAATAATCCAAGGCCTCAGTGTGGTTTTCAACCTCAATCCTATTCTGGTCGACACATTTTCTGTGGGACTCCGCCGTGGAAAGATAGATGGGTGTGTGGAGAGTAGAGTGCCCGGGGGAAAAGCTGGTGGCTGAACAAAGACATGTCCAACAGTATCAGAACAGACTCCAGGCTGGACAGATGCTGTTTGCTGAACTAATATTGACAATGGAGGTTTTCCACATACCAGGATGTGGCACTACAGGTGAGGCAGCCCCATCTATCACCTGTCCATCTATTTAGCAAGCATAAATAGATTAATATGAGGAGTGAGTATAATGCTGTATAGTCTAATCTGCCTATTAAATAATTACAGTGAATTACATATAAAGATAGACATTTTATATTTAAATCTAGCACATGAATACAACACTAAAAAGTTGTAATAGAATCACCCAGACCTATTTTCCCTCTCCTCTCCCTCTCTGCTCTCTCACTATTTCAGTCTTCCTCCATCATGTCTTACCCACTCGTTCCTCCTCCTCCTCCTCCTCCTACTCCTCCTCGGTAAATCCTTCGACTCTCTCTGTCTGATCACCAGAGGTTTTATGGCCAACTGTCCTAGATTTGCCATTTTAGCTATATTTAACCCTGACTTCCAGCAGCAAATCATCCAGGTCCCCTCCTTATCCCCCTGTAGTAAAATGTAGTAAAGCACCTGTCTTATAGATCACCTCTGAGAAAACACACAAAAACAGTTGCTGAATTTGGACCTAATTTCAGCCAAATGAACAAAACTACCACCGTACAACATCATACATGAGTACCAAAAACCTGAAGGCCCCTAATAAAGGTCCTTTAAATTCACCAGTGATCAGTTATGTCAATGCAGAAAAACATGAGGACAGTCCTCACTTTTCACTGCCACTGCATGGTACAATTCTGTATGGTTTAATGCACCTATACTGGTTATAAAGGTACTCAGGTGTTTACACATTAATGAAAACATACCTGTGAATATTTTATACCTTTTCTGCCAGTAGATCCTCCTAAATGTTACACTGGACCTTTAACGTAATAATCTTAAAATCTAGGCCAAGCTGACATGAGTTTACTTCAGTCTTATTACAAAAAAGCATTAACTACAAACTTTCTTCCATTGATTGTCCTTTTCAGTTTTAAAGGTTGGTCATATACTATATGAATTTTTCTGTCAACAAATCCTACTAAAAAGCCAAAACCAACAATGAATTCATACTTCTAACTAAGAATTCACTGTGGAGCCAAACCCTGATATAGCTTATTCCTTTGTGCCATAGTTGTCCAAAAGCTATTAAAAAACATGTCACGCTGATGCACTGAATGACATTTTTCCTACATTATGATGGAGATGGGCACAGTTTATTCAGTGTCACCCACATAAAGCATACGCATCTACTGTGCTGTAAACTACAGTGCTCAGCTGTTATAGGAAACAGAAAAATGAAACTATATAATTGTGGCCTGCTTTCAAAGATTTACATCTTCAGTGGGACAAATGGGCTGAACTCCACAGACAGAGAAGTCAGAATATATTGACACAAAGACTAAGAACAACACCACACACACCCTTTAACTAAGTCTATTTTGATCCACCAAATTTTCACAACCTACATAAAAAAATCAATAAAAAGAGGAAATCTCTACATGACGTTATAATAGATATCACATCTCCACCATGGTCGACCAGTCATATCTGTTACAACCAAACAAGTGCTACCTAATGGAGAAGACGCGTTTCCTGTAGCACTTTTCCCAGCATCACTTTGAGCTTTCTTTTTCACTCAAATTACAAATGTTGTCCCTTCAAGTTCCTGCACCGTACTGTATTTGTAACTGTAAGAGCCACGTCTGTATAAATAATAGTATAATAATAAGCGTAAATGAGATCAGAAGTGAAGGTTTCTGAATTGAGGCAGCACTGTGTGTGGTAGCCCTGGAACAGTGGGAGGCAGGGAGGAACCAAGACAGACTCTCCATGCGTGAGGAGAAAGGCTGTTTCCAGGTCAGCTGCTCCTCAGACCTCCCTGCTGTCCAAAGGCTACTTAACTTAGCCAGGGCCTTCTCTCTCTCTTTTTTTTCTTTTTTTCTATCTCTGTCCTGCCCTTTTAGTTGTTCCTTTACATGTAGATCAAATACGCCTCTCTGCTGGAGCGTAAGGCCTTTTCCACATCGCCTTTAGAAATATATGAAAGAGCTCTCGGGAACTGAATTCACTTCATTATGCCCTATCTCGAATCCACTCCCTCTCTCTATCTCTTCCTGTCTGTCTCCCTGTCTCACTCTACTCTTACTTGTACACATACAGAAGACGGAAACATGCTCACAAGTTCTTATACACAGTTGCTTTTCTCTTTTGAGTAGCCATACGACTATTTGTGGTGAATGGAGGAGTACATAATTCTGCCTCTTCCCTTTATAGATGTATGATCATGTAAACTATGTACTCTTGAATCTAATATGACTACGTACTTTTTTGTCCCTGTTATACAGACAAACATGTTTATATGTTTATAAACACAATTTGAAGAAGGGATTGTATTTGGGAGGAAGTGATTTTTTTTTGAGAGCCTATTTTTCAGCTTTGTCTACATTTGAATGTGATATGTATTGCATGTAGGTCCCATGTGTAACTACAGTAGTTAGTAGTCAGTAGCCCAGAGGCACAGCCTGTGGCTTCCTCCATTTAGTTCCATGCCAGGCTAATAACAGGCTGGCTGGCTGAGCTCACTGCCTTTTCACATTATTATGTGTGTCCCGTCTCCCAGCCCTGCCCTGATACGTCAGCAGATATCGCTGTCAGTGCTATGTGGCTGTGGGCCTTGGCTGCTCTCCCATAGTGACTGCTGTGGTAATTTCACTGTATAAATACACACTGCTTTTAGAGAGAGACAAATAATTTGAACAGGAATACAGTATATATACATGTTAATGTAGGTTTTAAAAAGGAAATAGGTATCAAGTATGATGTGCATGTACCCTTTATATCTTAATGCAAACTTTTGGGGGAAAAATATGTTGATAATTTGTTTAAAGGTGTTGTCCGGTCTCACTTATAAATGTTGTGACATTGTTAAATGAATAGTCACCATAAATAAATAAGGTAATGGTAGACCCTTTAAAATGTGTGATATTGTTTTATACAAGCATTTATTAGACCTAACTTCCTATTGTAACCTTTTGATACAGAAACCAGGAAGAAACAAAAGGAAGAAATGATGCAGGCCATGATGACACACTGTGTAAAACACAGTCTAGATGCTTGTAATGACGACTTGACAACTATGCTTAAAACACACTTGTTTTAAGCATCATTTAAATGTTTTTCTATCGAAATGTCCAGTAATATATATATAATCTTGGGCTGGTTGGCTCAGGGTATGTGTTGCCAGGACGGTCTACAACAGTGCATGTTGTTGCAGGTTTGTGATTGGCCGAGAGCGTCCGGGCCAGCAGAGTGAGGTGGCCACACTCATCCAGCAGACCCTGGATCAAGAGAGGAGACAGAGAGAGCTGCTGGAGCAGCAGTACGCCCAGTATGACGCAGATGATGACGAGGTAATGACCACACACGACCCTTGGCTGCTACAGACGATGCTAGTCTTGAAGGTGCAGTAAAGAATTGTGCATATGAGATTATGTATCTCATAGTGTGGATCTTACTATTTCCAAAGTGCAAACAGTGGAAGATGCCACCCTCTGAACAAGAGTAACATTATCTTATATTAATAAAGCTCATTATATCTGCATTTATCTGAAGCTCATCTGCTGTCAGTACACACAGTTCTTATATGTGACACTATATTGGAATAATTAGGCTTCTAGTTGTCACATAAATGTAAATAAGCTCCCCTTCTTGTGACAGTTGACTTGAGGTTTTTGCTTATTAACTCCATAAAACTGACTGACAGTATGCTTTGATGCTGGTACACAAAACCGTCTCTCTCTCTCTCTCTCTCTCTCACAGACAGACACACACACACAGACACACACACTAAGTGGATGCCATGTGAGCTTCAGTCCTAGAAAGCATCACTCAGCGTTTCCCCCTCTGATTCTGCTGCTTACTCACAACGCGTTTAATCCACCAGACACTGAGCTCATTGCCCTCCAGCTCATGCTATCTGTGTGTGTGTGTGTATGTGTGCCCTGGAGACAAACGTGCATGTGGACACACTGTATATACACATGAAATCGCACACCGTAGCAATTTAAATCAATTCAGAGTGTGCCCTCATTTACACACACACAGGACCAGCTTCAATCATGCAGAGATTTAAAATACAGACACACAGGCATTTTGTCTTCATCAGTGTTTTTTAAAGGCATTTCCTGGTGGACGGTGGATTGAGAGCCTTCATGCATGAAAAACTCCTCACCAGTAGCTGATCCCAGCACTCCCATAATCATAAGCTCCTACCACAAGCAGTTACCACAAGTAACCTTCCTCCTTCATCTGTCATCATTTCCGATCTAGGGTATGTAATGAAAATTGAAATAAACCTAAGAGAAAACTCAGCCTGTGCCGCCGATCACACATAAACAGAATGGCGATCGTATTAAAATTGTTAATCCATACATAGATTTCAAAATGCTAAAAAACTTGAAATCTGCCACATTTTGAGCACTGAGTCATCCATAACCCCTTGCGTAACTGCTGATAGGGTAAACAGTTACAAAACCATTAAAAAGACCTATGGGCCAATAAAAGGAGCTCATCAATATTAATGTCTCTATAAATATTAGAACGAGTTCTCACCGGGTGGGCGTGGAGGGAGGTTATTTCTCACTCTGAGTGCTGCCAGGGTAGATGTGACAGACAGCTCTTTATTGGTGCTGAGGCTTCTGTCCCAAGAGGACGGGATGCTCCTTCAGTTAGCAATAGGCATCACACACACATTGTTAGTCCATTTGTGTGCTTGATTATATGTAATCAAACACATGCATGCCCATCTGTCAGCGGTTAAAAGCAAACACACACGGGAAAAGCATAGAGACACACACACACTACAAAATGTCTGACATTTCCCCTAGTAACCTTTTATTGATACTTTTTTTTAGTTTTATGTGATTGTAAATTAAATTAATTCGGTTTTGAACTGTTATTTGTACCAAAAAAAAGCAATTAAAAGCAATCTCCTTGATTTTCCTCTGGGAAATTGCAACGGTGTTTTCTGATATTTTATAAACAATACACACATTTATATAAATATATATATATATATTGTTCATGAAAATAATCAGTAATTTAGTAAACTTTAGTAAAAGACTAAAGATAGTTTTGCTTGTTTTACAGAATTATGTTAATGTGAAGATACAGAATAAAAGACAGATTGTTCCACAAAAGTCAACAAAAAGTAACACATCAATCACGAATGAATAGAACTGGCTGATTTGCATTATCGTACTGACAGATCTATTCTCTCATATCAGCACCAACACAGAGACGCGTGAACACACAGATGCACATTTGCGTCATATGGGATGGATGGTAGAGATGGGAAAGAGTCTGATTTCTCAGGACGGCTGCAGTATTGCAGAATTGGTCGTGTAAAGATAAAAAAAATACAGTGTATCAACATTTTAGCATTACATCTCTTGAACAACAAATTTCGGCTGATGTGAGGCATTCATTTTACTTTCTCATTTTGTCTCTGTAAACTGCTTATTATTTTGACTACAATATGACATGAATGCTGCAACAGAGCTTTTTAGTTTATTGACTTAAATATTAAAATGCAGAAATATTAAATACAACTTTAAGTAATCAAAGAAAAACATTAGGTCCAACAAAACAATATTGGATACACAGTGATGTCCACACAAACAGACACAAAGAATTGAGCACAGTGGACCATGTACACCAGTTAGAGGAGCAGTCACAGTCCTTTCCTCTGCTGATTGACAGTCATTATGCCAACACCATACTCACATTAAACATTTCATAGAGCAGATCATCACACACTGAGCCCCCTCTGAACCACAAGAGCTCTCCTTAAATCGGCTTTTCCTCACGCGTGTGGTAGGAGGTGATGCATTTATCATATGCAAATTGGTGTTTGACTGCTCTCCCCATGTGTTCAATGGTTAACTCCGCCTTAAGTAAATGGGGCCTTAATGTATGATGCTAGTACCATGGCAACAAGAAAGCCTATTATGGAAATGGGACTGTGTGTCGGCCATGCATGCAAACAAATCAGGCCTGAGCTCTGTTATCTGAGTGGGAGATAGATGGAGGGAAGTGCAGGGAAAAAGAGATGAGGAGAAGATATAGGCCAAGATGATGAGAGAGGAGATAAGACTGTGTGTGTGTGTGTGTGTGTGTGTGTGTGTGTGTGCGGCGTGTGCACGTGTACTACATGTGTGTCAAAGATCAAGATAGAAAGTTCAGAAATATGGATTTTAAATAAAACAGGATAAAGGGACCAAGAATTTAGTTACAAAAAGAATGGAAGTGCATAATAATTATTGAATTATGAATATTTACATGTAGATGATGGAAAACAATCAGCTTGGACTGCCTGAGTTGTGTGATGTTAAGAGGGAGACAGAGATGTTTTCAGAGTCCCTCCACTGGAAATATCCGGCGCTGTTGGTCATCAGCCAAAGAGTGAATCAGCCGATTCATTTAGAGCCGATGCCTAATGGCCAATGCCAACATTCATTATAGTGTATTTTGAGAATCAGAGAAAAGAAAAACTGCCTGGAATACATGCAGCATAATGGTCTACATTAATGTCAAGCCACAAAATATTGTTCATTTAAATCCTGTGTAACATTCAAAGCTGAAATAATTACTTGTTTCCGGTGACTTTTATTAGTCACAGATTTTTATGTAAATCCTAGATTGCTAACATTAAGGATTAAATCCATTAGAGGCACTATCACAGGCTGAAAAATCATTAGTTTTGACCTGTAGCCTCCTTACAATTGAGGCAAGATGGTGACTAATGTTTTAAAATAATAAGAAGTGACATTCAATTTTGGCCAGTAGAACTTGTTTGACTTATTTTCTTTTGAATAACAAATTACACTTATGGCTGACTAGGCTGTCAAACCAATTTAGTTTTAAGTTTTGGCCAACTAAGTGGGTTACCCTAAATCTTATATAACTAGCATTAAAATAGCATTACTCATGCAAAATAGATAGAAAAAAGGAAAAAAAGGATGGCATGGGGGAGAATGGATAGTTTCGGGTTGGGCTTGACACGCAATGTGCAGCAGCTAGAGCAAGGTGAGGAGAGATGAGAGAAGACAGAGTGAGAGAGAAAAAGAAAGGTGAAAAACGGATGCTGCAGTTGGACAGCTGGATGTCTGACTGGCTGGCTAGTTCATCTGTTCAGGCTGTTTCGCAGCCTGTTGACAGTTCATTGAAGGGTGAACGCTTTAGGCTGCAACCACTTTTGCCGGCTGAACTGATAACTGTGGCTTGCAGATTTAATCAGATGTATTTAACTAGAGGGCAGTTATTAAAGTTAGAAAACTTCATGAGTTGGTTTTGGTCGTTTTTTCGAACTTTTTAATGTTTTTAGCTGATTCATTTTAACAAGAATCTTGGGTTTACTGAGGCTAAAGCTACCTCCAGTATGTGTCTCTCATGCATTACCATTACATATGAGTCACAGAGGTAAGCATCTGCTAACCCAGAATATAAATGCCCTGCAATCAACCTAAAAGCTTTTTAATAATACTTATTGCTGTTTGTCCAGTTATTTCCAGAATCCTCAAAGACTCTTAAAACCGTCTCGATGAATAAATATTCGGTCAGCTGCACCATAAATAAATGTTTTAACCCATTTTCCAAGTCGTGCCACTTTTTTTTCTCATCCAAACAAAGATGGGAGCCAGACATAATTAATGTTCTTACTCTGTTACCTGATTACTATAGTTGTATAACATGATACCAATACACAAAAAAGAATCTATATATATAGATATATATATATATCTATATATATTAGTGTTTCTTTTAAACATTTCATATTTTTATACACAATAGTGTTAATGCTTGTACAAAAAGAACAAGGACAAATGTCCTTTCTGGCTGCCTAAATTAAGAAATACTGCTCTCCAATCTGCATGTAAAGATCTTGTAGTTCTCACTCTACTTGGCTGACTTTGCGTTTCCTCTTACAGCAGACAGGAGAGTACGCAACAGACGAGGAGGAAGCGGGGACAACGGTGGCAGGAGGGGAGAAGAGCATCGAGGTGTTTGACTTGCCTGAGACGGAGGAGATCTTGTCTCCCTCGGAGTTAGACGCCAACAAACTCTACCAGAAGTTCAGAGAGGTGAACTCAGAAGAAACTTTCTCATCTATAATTCTCACCCTACTTTTAAATATCCCAATGTGACGATCGCACAACTGATGAGAGCCCACCACATTTTTCTCTGTCAGTGCTTTGAAGAATACATTTAAAAGAAGAAAATATACTAGAATACACTAGAATAACCACAGAAAAAAAGATTAACAATAAAAGATAGCAACACAATGGAGTCTAGCACCCCTGCTTTATTTGGCAGAGTTATATTCTTTTGTTAAGATCTAAGATCCGCTTACCCTCCCTAATTCCTAATCTGGATGATTAGAGGCGTGAATGCAAAAGCGATGTAAGACCTGTGCTCATTTCATCTCTAATTACCCATGTTTGCTTAAAACCCACAGATGGGGAGAGAGAGATAAGGACTTTAAACCTGTATTTGAATCGATTTGTATCCTGATCTTGGCAACTCTCCACGCAGCTGGCCTTTGAGAATAAATTTGTGTTGCACTTTTTGCTACACTAGCTAACAATGAACTCATCTTAAAAACTACAGCTATAAAATGGAAAATGAAGTCACTGGCTATTAACTGGTTTATGCTTTTTAGGCTGCTGAAAAGCTGGCCCTATTGATTGAACACTCCAGCCCTGTTTTTGGCACCATAACACTTGAGCCTTTCTGTAGACTGCCACAATAGCTCTATGACACATTTAACAAATGGCTTCAGCTGCACTGCAGGCACCGCTGGGGATATCGAGTGAAACCATAATGTAATCCCTGGTCACAGGATGTATACATTTGTTCCATTTTCTCTAGCTCTTGACCTCTCTCGCTCCCATAGTGCCGCTTTTACCTTTTTTCATTGAAAGGGCTGTCCATTTCCCACTTCCTCCTTGTCTCTCTTTACCACCTTTTACACACTCAAGAAAAGAAGAAGCCAGGCAGCCGGGAAAAAGCCTTTAAAATATCAGAAAGTAGATGTGATAGTAAAAACGTTGTCAACAGTGAACAAATCTCTCTTAAACCTTTTTATCTTCTTAATGTCCTTTAAAAAAATATTCCCTACCAGGCTGCTGATCAATCCATTTACTTTTTTTTGTGATGTTCTGAACTATGTTTTGGAGGTATGAGTAATTATGAATGTCAACATAGACGCAGTATTGACACACGCACGTACACACACACCACTAAATGCTTACACTAGAAACTGTTAATGAATGGAATTTAGTACGGTATCTATGTATTCCATGTAAATTTATGTATCTGCATAGATTTTTAGATAGAACATTTATCCAAATTTTAAATTCACATTTTTTAGTGCGAAGAACAAAAATTGTAATTAAGACATCAAGATAAGCAATAATACTCAATATGCCCTACTGAGGTATGAGGAAACATTTTTAAGTTCAGCTCCAGTTCATCTAGAATATTTCCATTGATGTGATAGTGTAGCCATAAGAGACATGGCACTCAGTATTAAGCATCATAAAGCTTAAATTACGTGTTGGAACAAGCAGATACAGGCTGTTAATGTTTTATGTTGTGAGTAAAATGGTGTTCTAACTGTAAATTTACTTATTTAAAGGATAGGTTCACATTTTTTCAAGAATACTCACATGCATACATACTGTATGTAAATGGATGTGGAATCATTCCTCCTGTTCATACTGGACATTAAAATATGCCCTGCAGTCCTGCTTCCAATTGAAGTGATGGGGGACAAAATCCATAGTCCTCGATCCGTGCAAAATGACTTTCCAAAGTTTATGTGAACTTCATGTAAGGCTTTAGCAGTCTGAGTCAGTTTAATTGAGGGGGTATCTTTACAGTTACAGTCTTTTTAGGACTTAAATTTAAACTTTAGAAGATACCAACTTAATTAGTCTAACTCAGACTGTTGAAACCTCACAACTTGTAATGAACTTAAGATTGCATTTTTGCACTGTGGCCTGAGGGGAATACAACATGCAAAATCAATACTGTAACATATGGACTTGAAACATTGTGAACCTATCATAAAAAATAGGCTTCAAAAGATAAAAGAAAGTACAGTCATTGTTATACTTCAGACACTCCCATAGTTCCCAGTGTCATTCCTTCCCTTTTTCTCTGTTTCTGCCTCATTTACCAGAGCCCTCATTTGCTTTCATTGCCACATCTCTTGTTCCATATCCAGTTCTTTCTCTCTATCTCCTCCTTTTTTTTATGCCTGCTTTGTCATTATCTCCCTCTCTGAGTCTCCCTGTAAATGACTGCTCATTTCAACTTCCATCCATTAATCTTTTGTTGCTCTCTCTCCATTTCCAATTCCATCCCTCTGAATTTCTCATTTACAGATTTCTTTTTCTTGTCAAAAGAATTGATGAATTCTAGCTATTTATCTACCTCTCTCTATCTATCCATCGCTCTCATTGCCTCTCCTCTGAGTGTGTGTCAGCGTGTGGAGCTGGGATGCTGTCAGGGGAGGACGGGGTCGGCTGCCTCCGTCCGTCACACTGTATCGACAGCAGGGAGAGCCTGTGCAGCCATGCATTTGATTATCTGACCGCCCTCTCTTTTCTCTCCTGTCTTCTCTCTTGTCCGCCTCTGCTCCCAACAGCTCCAGATCAAACACACAGTGACCGAGGCCGAGATCCAGAAGCTCAAAAACAAGGTAAGAGATTAAAACTATCACCGCATGCGGGAGGATGTGGATGTAGTGGTAGTGTCAGGACAACAGGGTGGCAAGGGTTCATGTATGGCGGGAAAGCTTTAGCAATAGATTTTAAAGACTATTTTACTAACAAAGTGGCTATTAATTCATTTCTTTTGTCTGTAACTTCATTTATATTTCAGTTGTGTGCCCTTCCATGTCCTGTATAATCTTCTTTCCCTCAGATCAAAGTTGCAAATGGCTGGTAACTAAATAAGAAAGTCAGAGCACCTGGTAGAATTTCTGTTTATTTCTTTTACTGCAATCTATAAGCTCTATGCGTGTGCATATGTGTACATGTTTACCTACAGTATACATATCTGAAGTGTATAATTTATAAATGTTAAATGGTAATGGCCTTATTAATGTGATTGATATGATCAAATCGATTACAGAAGTGGTGCATAAAAGCTTTTTTTAGGAGTAACAATAGATCATTTCCAATTTTGTTTTCATGTAGCTGCAGACAGCAAAAACAATACAATACAAAATATAATCTGGTATAATATGAAAGCTTTGATTCCTAGGATTCGTTTACTGTGCTGTTAAAAGTTCCCATGTTGTAAAGTTGTTTTTGTCCCTTTCCAGTTGGCGTCGGTGGAGAGGGAGAAGCAGCGCTGGGAGAAGGAGAAGAGCCAGCTGAAGGCCAGCATCGAGGAGAACAAGGAGAGGATGCTGAAGCTGGAGAGCTACTGGATCGAAGCGCAGACCCTCTGCCACACGGTCAACGAACACCTGAAGGAGGCCCAGGCGCAGTACCAAACTCTGGAGAAGAAGTACAACAAAGCCAAGAAACTCATCAAAGACTTCCAGCAGAAGTGAGTGAACCTGGGTTAAACTGGCCCTCCTAATCTGTGATTGGGGAATGGAGGATTTATGTGTTTATAGCATGTTTCACATTATTCTGATGGCATTTTGTTTGTAGAAAAAAAAACTTGTGCAGCATATGTGTTGCTTTTAGTGTATTAACTCGCAGATAGGACAAGGCTAAAGCTTCTTAACTCGAGGTCCGCTTACAAGCTTTTTCCAGAGCTTTCAATCACATCTCAAGGTTTTTATCAGCAGATGGAGTTTGCTCATGTAATTTCTGATCATATATGTAGAGGGGAGATCATAAACACTGGATCTATTACGTCGGATGTAAACAGCCTCCTTGAGCCTCCTCTTTAAGCTGTTTTAATTTTGATCCCAGGCAGCTTTTCCTGAACTGACAGTTAATGCTTCTTTAGTCTGTCTTCTTTTTTTGTTTGACCAGTTAGTTGCATTGGTTGTCATAGTTAAATGTAGCATAATGCAGTCATAAAACTTCTTCTTAACCAACTCTTATTGACTTGCAGAGAGTAGCACTTAACAGCTTGAAATGAAACATAATTTACATGTCTATTATATCTCAACACTGTTTCTTGAATGAGGTCATTCTATCAATCCTGCCACATTAAATATGTGCTTTAATAAATCATTTTAGATAAATTCCTTCCTGCCTCACAGAGAATATCTGCTACATTTCTGTCTGTGAGGCAGAGTGGCTTTTTTTATAGCCAGAGTCTTATCCCATTCCAACAGTAACAGCTGAGTTCCCATTAGTATGCAGCGCAGCCCTCCTGCTTTTTAGTGTGTTGATCTCTTTGGTCGGTCCCATCACAACCTCTCCTGCTCAGCTCCAGTCTGACTGCCTCTAATTGGATGTGGCCCTGCAGGCCAAATGGAAACTAACTGATGAAACAAACTCTCCATGCTGATCTGTAGCGGAGGACTGAGTTGCAGGGGAGAGACAGCGAGCTCGCAGACCAAGGGAAAAAGCAGGCATCAAGAAACGGCTGGATTTGGTATTCTTAGGAATGTAAATGTATGTGTTTTTATTAGATATAGATGTGTGCGTGTGGGGGACAGATTGAAATGAGTCCCACTGACATCTTTAAAAACCCTTGGATCCCTTATCGCCACAGCTGAGCGAGAGGCAGGGGGTGTCACACATGGCGAAACATGCACATACTGCAAGCGTGTCTTGTTTTCCTGCGCACACCTACTCAGCACATTACAATCTCCCCTCCCCTCTTGTCTTTGTAGAGAGGTGGAGTTTATCCAGAAGGAGGATGCGGAGAGGAAGCGGCTGGAGGAGGCTGAGAAAGCTCACCTAGCTGAAATCCAGGGACTGCAAGTCAGGGTAAATCAGATATTTTTAAGTTGACTGTGTCCATCTCTCACCTCCATAGTTCTCTTCCTGTATAGAAACCCTTACCCCCTCTGTTCTTAATGATCAAGATGGTTAGGTTTTGCCCATTTTTTATATTTTTTTACAGCCCTTTTTCTTTCATAACATATGCTGTAAATGTTTGAGAGAAATTAAATCCAGTAATCAACATGATCACAAGCATCTGTGCCACTTGTGCCACATACAAAAGGTTTCCTCTTCCTAGTACAGGGGCAACATTCTGTCCAGGAATCTGTGGGCGGTTCTGTTGTCAAACTCTGTATGGATTTTCTGCTTTCCTAGTCTTAAAACATGACAGTCGTGTTGTTTTCTGCTCAAGTCTCATGCCATGCCCCACAGTTGAATGGGCAGTCAACCTGACTGTGCCCTACCATTATTCTGCACACTGAGCACACATTTTCCAACTGCACTGCTTTGTGAATGGTGAACTGTGGCACAAGCAAGAGTGGTGGGAAAATAGTATACTCTGGATTTCAAGCCAACAGCAAGTCAGGAGGGTTTCAATGACATACTGGATCAAATGTACTGTAGGTTCAAATACTACACTGGTGAGTGTCATGGGCCAGTAAGACACTTAAGTATTTCTAAATGGAAGGCCATGTAGGCCATTAATGTATGTGCTGTTTCGAGAGGTAAATGCCCTACAGCTGATTAACATTGATCGGTTCCTGTCCCTCCACAGATTGCAACATTAGAGTCCGAGCTGATGCAGCTGATGAAGCAGAACGGCATCCAGGTCAACAACAACAACAGCAACAGTGCCGAGAGGCTGATCGCTCAGCAGTACAGCCCCAGAAGGGCTGCAGCACAAGCCAGAGGTCTGTTTGTGAGGAGAATGGTCTCTGCCAGGATCATTGTTATAATGTTTCTCATTTAAAGGAGTAGTATTTCATTTGTGGAAAAAATCATTCATTTCTGTCCACTAAGTATGAAGCTGCAGCTTAGCGTAAAGAATTTAAAACAGGGTGAAACAGCTAGCCTGGCTGTTTCCAGAGGTAAGAACATCCACCTACCAGCACCTTCTGAGCACGTTAAATCTCTTTGGTTGATCCGTACAAAATACAAAGTTTAAACAACAAGTTGTAATTGTACAGGAGGTTATGTGCGGAACTATTTCTTGGCTGGGTGCAGTGACTTCTTGCACCACAACAACAACTT